TGTCTCAAGATCCGATGAACTCTGCAGAAAGCTGTAAATTCCAGCGAAGTCCAAGTGTTTTAATGCTGCGTTAAGTTTTAAGAATTTGCAGCTTGATGGTGGAGACCGCCACCCTCTCAACTCCAGTATGGGAAAGCACTTATAAACCAAATACATAAACCAGAATATGTCAAACAAAGGAATATGACTCACCAAATAAATGAAATGAAAATTGTTAAATGATTTGAAAAACAGCTTGGATTATATGACAGTGTTTTGCCACAAGCCACATCAAAGTGTTCAATGTTGGTTGGAAATCTAATTTGATTTTTAATCACTTTGAGAAACCGATTTTAAATCAATCGGAATTTTAAATATTTCTGTCCATTGCAAACTCTTTATTCTCACAGTTCATCATTAAATTTTTTTCGTTCAATAGCCAGTGTCCAACCAAATTGACAATGAGAATGTTATTCTTCGGTAGTTACAAACTTAGTTATCAGATTATCCTACGTAGTGGAACTGTTCATGTTACAAACTGATAAATTAATAGCAAATAAAGGTCGCAAAATGAAAAAAGAAATATGAATAATCAAAGACTCAAGAGTATGAATAAACCTCGATGCACAAGGGACCCAATTCAAGATTCTTGACATGGCCAACGCTGAGAAGAAGTTCCTCCAAATATCTAAACTCCTCCTCCAATTTCTCTTCTTCATCTTCAAATTCAATAAAATCAACATTAAAATGAAGGACTGCAGTGGCAAGTGAAGCCACATTGCTCTGCTGCAAGCGTATCTCATTGTATAAGAACCCCGAAAGTACCAAATTTTGAATATACGGGGCGAATATTTCGAGCGGATGGGTATCTTCGTCATGCCATTGGCAATAACAATCAATTTCATCATTTAATATGATCAATTTTCTCAGCTTCACAGAGCTGATTTCCAAACGACTAATGCCCAAAACACTATCCAGTTCCAAGCTCTCCAAGTTAGGGCAACCGGACAATATCTTCTCCAACATATTATCCGTCAATTTCAGGTGACCAATTGAAAGAGAAACGAGACTGGTCCAGGTCACACTACCAGAAGGGTTTATCTGGCAGCTGCCTAAAACCAAATTCCTCAACAACGTATTTTTAAACGTAAATTGGGGAAACTTATACGCGCAATCTGGAAAATTGATAATACAAAATTTAAGTGTAAACTCTTCAACATTAGCAACTTTCATTGCAAAATGTACCCAAAAATCGTAATCTTTAACAAGATACTCTTTGTATTTAACAGGAAAAACCCTAAATGCTTTGATTTTCTCACAAGACCTCCAATAATGAAGCTCTCTATTGATGGAAGCTACGAAAGCAAGAATTTTCTTTTTGGTTCGTTCATCATAGGAGTAATCGAGGACCCCGAAATTGAGTGAAACTGCAACGGACTTCCAAAGAAACCGCCATCGCTGAGATAATACGCTGGTTCTCACAACTTCTTTTCCCTCCGGCAATATAGAAAGAATGTATAGTATAATTGCATCGGGCAAATCACCGAGTCGGTCTCGATCTCCTCTCGCCATGATTTTCCTCTGCATTTCCATGGAGTTTGAAGAGTAATAAGTAGAGAAGAAGATTGTAACTGATTTTGTATATATATTTACATGCAGTTGCGGAGGCCAATTTCGGGTTTGGGTCAGTCGAATCACAAATTGGGTGAAATTAAAAAAGCAATTTTTAACTCCGGCAGCAAAGACCTTATTTATTTTGAATAAATACCATTTAAAAGAATTATATTCTATAGATATCTTTTAATATTTATAGCAAAATATTTAATTTTAGTTATGTCCTAACCCTAAGCCACTAAATAAGCTATTCAGTTACACTATTTTTTTTCTCTCTACTTTGAGACGCTATTCAATAATGAACCGGACTCACACAAACTCTGCTTCACCGGCGTGGAATTAAGCAAAACATCAGAAGAAGAAGGCCCCTCATTACCCTATCTCTTCATATACAATCTATACTTCTATAAATGACTCGCCACGTTCTCTCACGTCAGTCCTTTCACATTCATAAGCTGTATAATCGTCTTGCGTTTTTTATACCTAAGTGGGCCACCACTTCAATTCTGTGATTTCTACATCTTTTGAGATATGGTATTGAAGGCTTTGACGTTGTTTTTTGCCATTGTGGAACTCTTATCGGCGGTTGCTTCTGCTCAGGAAGTGACCTCGGCTCCGATCCGGTGAACAACGGATTCGCCAGGAAATTAGGGTTTGTTCTTGAACAAAGACGGCGTAGTTTGGGGCTGAGCAACTTGATTTCTGTTAATATATTTCAATGTATTTTCATGTATTTTATTGTATTCGTTGTCTTTTTTTTCATTGTAATTCAATGTATCTCGTTGTATTCTATGTATTTTATTGTATTCGTTGTCTTTTTTTTCATTGTAATTCAATGTATCTCGTTGTATTCTATGTATTTTATTGTATTCACTATCTTTTTTCATTGTATTTTAATATATCCCGTTGTATTCTATGTATTTCATTGTATTCACTGTCTCGCTATATGTCATGAATATATTCATATATTTTTTTATTAATATAATTTATGTATTCAGATGTATTATATAATTTCTCTGAAGATTGCTATGTTTTGTGGTATTTTTCGGTTGAGAATCTTTTTTATAACTGAAAATACAAAATTTGTGTGTTATAATTGAGTTTGTTAAGTTATATTAGGAGTCTATTATGTTAATTGATTCACTTTTCGTTTTAAAAACAGTGTAATCCCCTATTTCATGCCATGAATACAGTCGAATACAATAATCTGTCCAGCTATAATCCCATGTTTCACTCCATGAATACAGTCGAATACACTCGAATACAACAACTGATTAGCTGGACTTTCCTGATTCACGCCTATTGTTGCTACTGTATTCATGAATACAATAGTTTAAATACATCAAATAGATCCTATAACCACAGAAAAGGTATATATAATTCGTAATATAGCAAATGGTATCTATAGATGGCTAATTACTACTAAAAGATAGTGCTTTATGAAAATTTCTCATTAAAAAATAGTCATATTTACAAAGGTAATTAAAAGATAACCATAGTTTCAAAAGTAATCGAAATTTAGCCACTTTTTATATAAATATAAATCTGAACGAAAATATTATTCAAAATAAGGAAAATATTCTAGCATAATATATTAAGTTTGAATTTTTTGCATGTGAACTTCCAACATAATATACTGGAGTTCCACTATATTATACTGGACTTATAGCATAATATACTGGAGTTCCAGTATAATATGCTTGAAATTCATATACAGGTGCTTCAATCTTTAGTATATCATGCTGGAACTTTTCGTGTGCTGGAGTTCTAGGATAATATGCTAGAAGTTCATATACAGGTGTATCAATCTCCAGTATCTTAAGCTAGAATTTTTTGTGCTGCAGCAAAATAGTGGCTATTTTTTAATGACTTTGCAAATGCTGACTATTTTTTAATTACCAGTCCGAAAACAGATTAGTCCGTGCTATTTTCACTCAGAAATTTGGCTTAAAATTTGTTATTGGGCTTAATAATTTTTGTCTGGCCGAAAAAATTAGGCCCATTCTTTTTTGGGCCCTAATTACCTCAAGGGATTTTTACTTTCCTATACTACATATAAAATTTTATTACCCTCCCCCATAATCAAGTTTTAACTGCATGGTCATATACATTTACCAATTATATACAAATAAGTTTTAAATGAATATTCCTTTATATTAGGAATTGAATAAGAAATATCAGTTATTTCCCCCGTCCCTTTATACATGCCATCTCTCTCTCTCTCTCTCTTCTCTCTCTCTCTCTCTCTCTCTCTCTCTTTATTTTTTCCGAATTTTTCTTTCTTTGATGTTCTATATTTTTTTATGCTTTCTTGTTGTATAGAGTCTTAATGGAATTCATCAACGAATTTCAGTCATTTTAGTATATCCTTTTAACTAAGCAATTTCCTTTCACGTTGCAAAACTAAAGTTCAAATTAAAATTGTCAATCAATAAATTTTGAAGGTGTTTGATTCTCCACCATTGACAGCCACTAAAAAGCTTCAAAACTTTGAATTCGAATTTGAGTTTTCAAAAGCTATTATTTGTTTGGATTGGGTGTTGTTGCAAATAATTGAGAATATTCGATTTTATATCTCAATTTTGAAGGTGTTTGGTAAAGATTAGACTTGATTTTAGCCAAATTTCAGATTGAAAATGAAGTCGAAGAAGAAGAACACATGACATACAATATACTTACGAAATTGTATTATAGTTGTATGTAAATTGTAGTTATATATTTTTTATTTGAATGTTGTATGAAAGTTGAAAAATAGTTGTATAATGTATGAATCTGTAATGACCCGATAGGTCATCTAGAGTTTTAAACCTTAATTCTATATTCCAAAACCTCAAATATCTCATTTTTAGCCTTCCTCGATTTGAGTGCATAGTCCGTGTCTTTTTTCAGAAGGTTTTTATGATAAAAATTGATAAAATATGAAGTTTTGCTTTTAAAATCCATTTGAGTTGACTTCGGTCAATGTTTTGAGCAAACGGACCCGGATCCGTACTTTGACAGTTCTGCGGGTCCGTATCGTAATTTGGGACTTGGGCGTACTCCCGGAATCGAATTCGGAGGTCCCTAGCTCGAGTTATTGCTACGGGATCCGGATTTTGGTTCCGGAGCTTGGTATGTGTCCATTACTATATGTATGACTTGTCGGCAAATTTCAGTGAAAATGGAGTTAGTTTGACGTGATTCCGACGTCCGGTTGTTAAAATAGAAGTTCTATAGTTTCATTAAAAAATTTATTTTATTTGTCCGATTCGTAGTTCTAGGTGTTTTGATCATGCGAGCGAGTGCGTATAATGTTTTTGGACTTGTATGCATAATTGGTTCGAAGCCCCGAGGGTTTGGGTGAGTTTCGGATAGGCTACAGATAGTTTGAACTTAGAAAAATCTGTTTTTTAAATTTCTGCTATGATATGGTGTTTCCTTCTTCGTGACCACGAAGGTACTCTCTCGATCGCGAAGAGTGAACTGAGCTGGGGTGGAAATTCCTTCATTGCAAACGCGATAGCTGGGTCGCAAACTCGGAGTAATTGGGGCATTACCCTTCGCGAACGCGGCCAGCTTCTCGCGAACGCGTAGGCTTGGGACCTGGGGAAGGAAACTAATCGTTACTCTTTGCGAACACGACACAAGGCTCGTGAACGCGTAGGCAGGTCGGTGTAAGCCTTCGTGAATGTGAAGGGTATCTCGCGAATGCGTAGGCTAATTGAGTTGCTGCTTCATGATCGCGTCAGGCCCTTCACGAATGCGAAGAAGACCTGGCGCCCAGTGATTTAATTGTTTCAAAAAGGGCTCCCATTTTTTATCAACTTTCCATTAGATCTCGGCCTAAAGGCGATTTTGAAGAGAAAACTCAACACCAATTCATAGGTTTGTGCACTTTAACTTATTTTCTTCCATTTCTAACATCACCCATTAATTTCTAGCCCTAATCTTTGTTCTTCCATGATAGAAATTGGGGATTTGGGTAGAATTAGGGATTTTTGCAAAATTGAAATTCAAACCTCAAACTGAGGTTGGATTTCAAAACAAATTATATTACCGAGCGAGGTGATGAATGGTAATCGGATTTTGGTCCGAATTTGGGGTTCGGACCAAGCGGGCCCGGGAGTTGACTTTTATTGACTTTTTCAATAATGACCTAAATTGAACCTCTTTCATTCATGGGTAGTTCCTAAGGCTTATTTTGAATCGTTTGATTGTTAAATTGCTAGATTTGATCGGTTCGGAGGCTTGTTCGAAAGGCAAGACCGTGGTTGAGCTTTGAGTCTATTTTGCAATAAGGTAAGTGTTGAGTTTAACCTTGATTTGTGGAAATTAGGAACCCTCGGACTATGTGCTACGTGAAATTCATGTGTTGCGGCATATATGCAAGGTGACTAGTGCTTATACACTGCTAAATTACTTGTTTCCCCCGATTTTCTCTTTTCGTTAATTATTTCCTTCCATGTCTTAACTGTTATGTGCTTTAAATGCCTCCCATGCTTTATGTGCTACTTGTTAATCATTATTTCTCGTGTTAAAGATGTTAGACCTTCCCTTTTTATTAGCTGCGTATTTATCCTCAGACAATATTATGTTTTATTCAGACCTTTATTTGTACTACTCTAGTAGCTCGTGCACTTGTGACACTGGGTCCAGGGTTGTATTAGATATTTCAGTTGTTATGGCTTCCACATTTTACTTTGGATTATTACAGTTATGTCAGCTTCTTTCTTATCATTTAATTTGAACGGTTGAAAATGGATAAATTGTTCTAACGTTGGTTTGCCTAGCAAGTGAAATGTTAGGCACCATCACGAGCCCAAAGATAGAAATTCCAGTCGTGACGGAATCATTGTAAGAAATTTGTATTTAAATTATAAATACTATTTTTTACATAAAGTTGTTGATATATATCAAATATATATTAGGAGAAGAAGTTTTGATTGGAATTTTAGAGAGGAAGAAGAACACACAACATA